GATGGCCATGGTGAGCAGTGATAGCCGTTGATGCAGTGATGGCCATGTGGATCAGAAGCACAGCACGCCTTGTCTCACTTGTCCTAGAGTTTGAAAAATATAATTAGCCTAGCTTGAAATTTAGATCCAGCCATGGAGTAAATGAGAGAATCTTGATAAAAATGGTCTATCTCTTTATAATGATGAAACTGAAATGCCCTCACAAGAATGTCCCCGTCCTGTGAAGGGAAGGACTTCGCCTCCCGGAAGCTGCTTCCTTCAACATCTTGCTCAGTTTGGAGCTGCCACATCTATTCTTGAGAAATTTGCCTTTTTTGCTAACATTAGCTCATCAGTACAACTGCTAACAGAAATGCACAGAAATGTGACCAGTATGATCAGGGGCAAGCTACACGACGACCAATATATTAGTATTGTTATATTAATGTAGCACTTTTACTAATATATTAATATTGCTATATTGTTATATTAATGTAGCACTTTTAATTAGTGTGTGAGGTGTTGCTGGGTTTACTGTGTACCTGCTCTGGTTGTAGCCAGAAGACATCGCTCATTACCTTTTGTGCTTTTCTCCGTAGTAAAACGCTGGAAAAGAAAGAAGCAACAGCTGGACGAGCGCACGTGACATGAAGTCCATGCCATGAGCGCTTCTCTCTAGATTTTTGGGTGAAAAGAAGCAGTATTTATTGACCTTATGAAAAACCTGAAGCAAAGTTAGCTCTACAAGAAAAAAATCACTGTGGCCTTTGGGCTAAATTGTTATAAACCATTTTGAGTGTTATTGTTCAAAGTGTTGTACTTGTGCTATTAGTAACCACATCAAAATTATAGTGCTGCTGCTGCTGCTGCTGCTGCTGAAAAAGCCAATAAAGAAAACCCCCGACTGCTACCCAGTAAATGTGAGTAACTGTGTGCACAGTGTTAGTCATTTTCTAAGTCATCATCCCATGTGCCTGTGACCTAAACCATCATCTCGGGTGGCTATGGCCATGACGTGGCTGTGTCGTAAGCCATCATCTCATGTGCCTGTGACCGTGATACTCTGCTCAGAGTGCAGAGAATCTACTTTTGAAGTTAACTGTGTGTAAAACCCAAGTAGCTTCTGGATATTGTATATTCAAACAGTCCCAGTAACAAAAGCATTAAAAGAGACAGTTTGCTTTTAAGAACTAAATGTTTATGTTCCCCTTGAGTGAATTATATGTGTAACTCAACACACCTAAACTAAAAATGATTTTGGCTGGACAGGCAATGGTATACCAAATTTATTTTTATTTTTAAAACAGAGTTCATATTTAAGAGTATAAGTAATTTATGGGTGTAAACTGTTTAATGATTATTTTAGTCTGAATTTTTGTTTTTAAATTATTACACAGCATTATTTATGTCTTTATTTCCAAAGTAGTAATGCCATTACCATAGGTTGCAGTTGACTATAACAGTGTAACTTCTCCATCTTGGTTTTCTCTTGACTCTTCTCTTTCTTCAACTGCATGATAAGTCTGTCAGTAAAGCATTTAACCCCAACAGGGTCAAACCTGTGGTAAAGTTACAAAAACTTATTTACCGAAGCAGACAATTGATCTCATTGAAATAAGAAGTGAGAAACACTGTGTTGAGCACTGAGGTGTAAACGTGTCCAGATGTACGCATAGCTTCTAGTACAGATGTATTTGCCTCTTATCCCTGCACATGTTGTAGAAGCTTAAAATGGTAAACATGATCCTGCCATGCAGAACCTTTATAGAATTGTTGTTATTACAAAAAGGAGGTTTTCAGCGCATACAGGGTGGCACTAAAAACCGCTTAAGCCTACGGCCCTCAGCACCGAAGTCTCTTGTACCAGTGCCAGTGCCATTATTGTGGTTGTGTGTGTCCGTGCTTCCGGTGCACTTGGGCCAACAGCTGAGTCACTCTGAACTTGCTTCTTTTCTGTCTTGTGAGTGTACTGCTTAAGACAATTAAAAAATAAAGGTGTGTTCCTACCATTTCGGCTTGTGTTTTTTTTTTTCTCTTTTCTGCGTGTGTGTGCATGCGTTTGTGGATTTGTGCGCGTGTGCGTGAGTGTTTAGGCGTGCTGGTGTGTGTTCGTACACCTGAGTGTGGGCCCTGTGCTGACGTCAGCCATCTTCCTCACTTATTCTCCCACTTCACTCGGCAGGGTCTCTACAAACCCAGGATCCGCATCTCTGCCTTCTGAGCCTGGAATTACAGGGAATCCCCTTGGCCGTCTGCATTCATGCAGGTCACATGATTTGAGGTGTATTTGTTAGTTCTCTGACTTTTTGGTTTAAATTCATCAAAATTAATTTCAATAAATCAAAATTCAAATCAAAACTAATGAAAAAACATATTGGAGGAGCTGAGCATTTGCTCAGATCTTCATGCTCACATGAAACTATAAAAGTCTATTTTTACATTGTACCTACTGAAGGCAAGAGCAACAGATGTGTCTTCCTACCAGGAAAAGCAGGCTCTCCTCAGGCTGGCCAGTCTAGGTGTAGTTACATTCATGAAAATACTGAGAAGTGTCTTTGGCATACCCTCGAGAAATCGGTCCTGACTCCACCCCTGCAGGAACTAAGACACACATCCACTTGGCTTTTGTGTTTTAGTAACTATTTATTCCTTATCATCATTATGAAATTATTGGATGTTATCACACTATTCAGATGAACATTGTGACACTATCTCTGTATCATGGTGTCTATAGTATCAAAACTATATTGTGAATAATAGTTGCAAAACTTTAATAATATAATAAAAGCCCAAGATATTTTTCCCATGGCTGTGTGCTAAGCATGTATGTATACATGCTTTCATGTGTGTGGCTACACCTGTGTACAGCTGAAACACCCACCCACTTGATTTTGATCATGGAATATTTATAATATAAATGCAAATTTTTGACATAAAATGTACATTTTTAACTGAAATTGATATCTTAAAGAGCTAACACTTGCTACATACAAAATTTTGTGCATGGTTTCTAGCACATAAAAACATGTTCTTGACTTTATGTGTAAGTGATTGTAAAATTTTATTTGTGACATCTCTTCAGGAATTTCAGTACAACTATATCCTGAAGTCACCATGTTATAGATAAATATGTTACTTCTGTCGTATGTTAAGTATTTTTAAAAAGATAAGAACAATATAAAATGCTAGCAAAAATTAGTGTTGATTTTTTGTATATTTTTAATTGACTTCCATCTGAGGTCCCTATGTGTTAATGAAATAGTACAAATTTTTTTAAATCGACATTATGTTAACAGTTTTTACCCAATTGAACTTGATTACAGAAAATATTTCCCAGATTTTCATTTTTTTTACACAATCTCTATTTCTGCATCAGATCTTTGAGCTACACAAAACTTCCATGCTCTACAAATAAGTAATGCAAGGCTCTGAAAGTTAAATTGCTTGCCCATGTGCACACAGCCTGTAAATGCCCATACTGCCTATACAGTGAAGACATGGAGTCAACCAAAAAATCCTCACATTCTGTAGAGGACAAAACCAGTCAGCATTTAAAGGTGCTTATCCCTACATTTATGAGTGACTAAAACCACGCTCCACCCAGGTCTAGACATTTGTACATACCTAAGTGAGAACTTTCTGAAACTGGTCATTTGTGTGTCCTATAATGGTCCTCGGGAGCATCTCACTCCTCATCACACAATCTTTATGTCTCCTGAAGAAACGGGTTCTATAGAATCAAACTAATTACATGTACAGTAACATTGTATTCATGAAATAGAAAAGCCGCCATTCCAGTCATGTACAAGATAATAAAAACATCAAGCAGAGTGTCAATCACAAGACTGTGTTGACTAAGAACTCAATCTATGGATGGACCCAATTATCTGAGGGAGAATGGAATGTCAGCATCGCTTAGGGTTAACAATGGGCTAACTAGGCAAAAGCAGACAGCTCCTCTCTGCGGAGACCCAGGAAGTAAAGTCAGTAATGAGGCACTTCATTCATCCTATCCTTCTGCTCTATTTATTAAACTGAATAGGAAATACTTTAAGCTAAGGCGGGAACTGGAGAACATAAAAAACATTTGTTTTGTAAACGCAAAGAATGTGTCTTTGGATCCCCTTCACATCTAAGGGCAGGCTGTGAGCACCTCCGCTTCTAATCTTGCTTTTCAACACCTCAAAGCTCACACTGTTTATGGATGGGTTAGTTTTGCCTCAAAAAGTTGAAGAGGTGTTTACTAACAATCTACAGTTTTATTTCTCCAATCTTAAAAAGGAGACGTGTCATAATTTGTAATTCCCTTTCCAACTCTCAGTGTTTAGGTCAAAATGGCTTAACTCCTAGCATACTTCAGTGTAAAGGTCACGGGTAATGATCAATGTGCCTGCGTGGTCTAACTCATTTCTTAATTCATCATTTGGTTCTTCTCCAGAATGGAGACAACTTATCATACGTGAAAATGTAAGAGTGACATTCTTATAGACGTAAACTCACAACTACCAATCAAGAAACAATTTCTCAGATGTTCTTGGGATGGAGATGGATTGCTTAATAAGAGTGGGAAGGGGGCTAGACAGTAAGACATCGAGGAAGGTAACTTGTTGAAACTGAAGCTTCAAAAGAAAACAAGACAGAAGACTGAAGGAAGCAGGTTCCCTGGAGAAAAGCTTGGTAGATTCAGTTCAGTTTTTGGTGTTTTTAGCAGAGAATCAGTTGGCTTTTTTGCGGGTGCTAAATTTGTTCACAGGGATGTGGACAAATATAAATGCCTCACATAATTTTTCTGAACTATTAGTGTAAGGTTTAGTGAAGGGTGGCTAGGCAGCAGCACTGCTACCCAGCCCTGACTGCTACACAGACGCTGATGTTGAGAGCTCTGTGTTGATGCAGCTAAGTATCTCATGCGGTAAAGGAATGTCAGTCAAATTTATGTACTTTAAGAACATCAAATTCTTACTATACTTATCATGTGTGCAGGCAGACTACATAATAAACTAGCCTATAGCAGCTGTAAATTTCTGAGGATTTATCTAACCACAAATACATTGAAATGGGGAAATGGGTCTATATTAAACCATGCAAGATGCTTCTGGAGCCTGGCCATTTCTGCAACATCCTGTAATTAATTTATCATGACAGGTCTGGCAAACTGAAATATTCACCGAGCTTGCAACAGACTGTTAAAACACTACAGTGGTTGCCGACCCACAAGCACGCCAAGGGAAGGTGGTTCTTCTTCCCAGACGTGACTTCAGTGTGCCCTGTATCTGGGGTCAATTTGTCTTCCTTTCAATCTCAAAAATATCTGGAATTTAGAAATGATCTGGGCTCAAGAAATGAACCTGGTTTGCTTTCTGCTGCGTGTGTCAATCTTCCTGGTCGGGACAGCTCCGTAACAGGAGAATGGTACCACTTGCTCAGCCCTTCCCACAAATGTGCCTCGTGCTGGGATTATCTTATGGGAGATTTGAATCAGTTTTGGAAGCCTCTTGGAAAGCTCCTTTTCATATGAATAAGGTTCACATAACCACCTCTATTTGTATAACACTCTGTTCTGAAATTTGAAACTACATAGAAGTATGATTTTTTTTATTGTTACAGTGGATCTTAACAATGGGATTTTCTCCATTTCCCAACAGGGTTATAGAATGATCTCTGCCTGATTTGATACAGGTAGTATCATGATGGTTGTTAGGAATGAGTCCGAAGGTGGAGATGGCTCAGTCAGTAAAGTGCTTGCTGCAAAAGCCTGAACATAGACCCCCCCAAACCTCAGCACCCACATAAGAGCCATGCCAGGTAGATCCCAGATTAGTGAGGCAGCATGTCTCAAAATATGAGGTGGACAAATAATTGAGGAAGACATCAATCTCTAGCTTCCACAAGTGCACACAAGGCTGAGTACACACATGGCTGAGTGCAGACCAGGCGTACATGCACACACACAGAATCCGTAGTAAAAGGCTCTGTGCTGGGAAAGTGGAGCTATCAATTCTGAAAAGGGGGAGTTAGGCTGTACAAATGTACGGAGACTTGTTCATTTCCTGGGAGGATTCAGAGTTCTTCATTCCACGGACAGGAGAACCAGACCTGCTGAGAACCCAGTATCTCAACGTGTCAGTAAGAGAGAAAGGTCCCAGATGGAAGAGGTTCGGATGGATCTTGCTCAGTGGGAAGAGGTAAGACAAGGTCACAGTAAGTAGAGGAAAAGCTTTTGTGTCTTCAGCTCCTCCTCACATGAGGATCTCCCTCCAGAGCTCATCTAAAAAACCTTGGAAATGAAGTAAGAATCTGAGTGTTGTTCAAAAACAATCGTGAAGATCTGTTTGGTTTGTTGGGGTTTGTTGAGTAAAGGTCTTACTGTGTAGTTCAGGCAGACGTCACACTTGAAATCCTCCTGCCTCAGCCTCCCAAGTTACAGGATTACAGGCCTGGGCCACTGTGCTTTAATACACTGCAACTAAATACCTTGCCCACAGCTCTGTGGCAGGGCCACTCTCAATTTCAACTCCAGCTGTTTCTTAGGTAACACCCGTATGTATGTATGTATGTATGTATGTATGTATGTATGTATGTATATGTGTGTGTATGTATGTATGTATGTATGTTGACTAATCTAAGTGAGCCAGGGCTCCAAGTGGAAGACATGTAAATAACATAACCTCCAGGGGAGCTGACATTTCTATACATGTAGGATTTTTTTTTTTTAACAACTGGATACAGAGGGTGGCTAATTCTATTTATATATCAAGACCTGGAATCAACTATGTTGCTAAATACATTGATAATTTAGGATACTCTGCCTGGGGATGTAGTTCACTGGTGATCACTTGCTTAGAATACAAAAAGTCTAGGGCTCAGTCCCCAGGGCTGAAAACATAAGTAAAATAAGATAAATGTAGGACCCTTAAAGATTTTTGCACATCTATTTGCTTTTAGGTGTGCATACATGCTGGCGTGTGCATCTGCACTTACTTATTCAACAGCTGGTTCCTGGATACCT